TCCTTATTTCTTACATCCTTAGCCTAAACTCTTGGTCCAAACTCTACAAAAAAACATCCTTTTCATATAGCACACTTGATTCATAGTAACTAAAAATTGGGAGTTACATTTGTACTATTGTCTATTTTTGCCTAGAAACTGACTTCCAAACATTTAATACATGGATGGCTCTACCATGGTTTTTCAAGGTCACTACGAGTCCATTTCTTCCTTATGGCTCAGGGGCAAATCACTATCTCCCACATTCTCTTGTCATTGCTAACCCTAAAATTAGGTGAGAGTTGGCTATGCATAAATAATAAGGCTGATCTTGGAACATGCTGCAAGACTGAAGCAATGTACTTCCAGCAAACATCTGTTCATTGCACAGAAGTCCCATAGCTTCAGCACTGGGACTGGAAAAACCCCTAAATGAATGTTAATTAAATAAGTTGAAAGATAAATGTCAATGTTAACATTTACCCCAGTTGTAGTTTAAAACTATTCTTTCAACTATGTTCTCCCACTTTTATACATGACCTAATTCAAATGTAAACAATACTTATTGGCTGAAAGTCAGGATTTTAAGTGGTTCTACAACTATATATTCAGAAAACATTTTCATGAAAATGTGAGAGTCCTCAAAAGACTATTCCAACACACAGGCATATGTGAAAGAACCTGCTATCTTCATTAACAGATGTGCTGTTTTTCCCAAAGTATCCATTTTCAAAAAGTGTTGCATAAAGAATGCTTCTTAATAAGACCTCTGCGCTGTACAATGCAAGCAGAATAATGGATAGATTAGGGTGTTCCAAGTAATGTAGACAAAAAAGAGATGATTCAGGTTATATTGATGATAAACAGTGCTATGGATGATGAACTAAAATTGTTAGCCAGGCTCTGAAGAGTAATCATGACTGATGAATCTAGTTGATTTTTTAAAGGAGACAACAAACATGGTAAGTAGGAGAATGCCTGTGGATGTTATTGATGTACGTTTCCAGAAATCGAGAATCCATATAAGAGACTGCTCATAAACATAAAAATGATTGAAACGAAGGCAAACTATTGACTTTCATAGGGAGCTGGTTAGGGGTTCAAAGACAAATGACAGGAAAAATGACTATGTACATCAATAGACTTCATTTGACTATAATGGCAGCCCCAGGGATTTGTACTGGGGCCTCTGATTTTCATTATCTTTACAAATAACATGGATAAATGAATTTAAAACCCTAAGTTTGCTTGTGAAGCTAAATTAGCTGGCACAGTACATAATGTAGATCAGAATAGAAAGATTCCAAGAAGTATTGACAGATTAACTCAATGGGCAAAACTGTGGCAAGTGCAGTTTAAAGTAGGAAAGTTAGAGGTCATCCACCTTAGATCCAAGAAGGATGCATGAGAGTGTTTTACAAATGATAAGAAACTGGGATATGTTTGTGAGCAGAGAGATTTGGAGGACGGTAGTGACATCACAGAAATATCAATGGATGAATAATCCAGAGACTCAGGTCATGAGAATATGGGTTCAAATTCTACCACGGCAGCCAGTAGAGTTTGAATTTTATCAATAAATCTGGATTTAAAAGCAGTTGCCGATGACCACAAAATTATCAGAAAAACCTTTCTGGTTCATTGACATTCTTCAGGGAGAGAGACTGGTGTGCCTTCATGTGATTCTAGACCCACAGCAAAATGTACCTGAACTGCTAGGTCTCTCTGTTCTACGACACTACCCAGTGCCCTACCATTGATTGTATAAGTCATGCCCTTGTTTGTTTTACCAAAATGCAATACCTTGCATTTGTTCAAATAAAACTCCCATCTGCCACTCCTCAGCCCATTGACCCAATTGATCAAGACCTCTTTGTAATCTTAGATAACCTTCTTCACTGTCCTCTATACCATCCATTTCAGTGTCATCTGCAAACTTAAAACCATACCTCCTATATTCTCATCCAAATAGTTTATATAGATAGATAAAGAGCAAGTAGTGGATGTAATACATTTTGATTTTCAGAAGGTATTTGATAAGGTACCACATGCCAGACTACTTAATAAGAACCTGTGATTTTAGATGTAGTATATTAGCATGGAATAAGGATTGGCTAATTAATAGTAGACAGAGTAATAATAAGGGGGTTATTTTCAAGATGGCATCCTGTTAACTAGTGGGGTGCTGCAGGGATCACTTCTGGCACCACAACTATTTACAATATATAGCAATGACTTGGATGAGGAAAGTGAATGTACAATAGCCGAGTTTGCAGATGACACAAAAACAGGTGGGAAAGCAATTGGTGAGAATGGCACAAGGGTCTCCAGAGGGTCATTGGCAGGTGAAGCAAGTGGGGGAAAGACTTGGAAGATGGAATCTAATGTGGGAAAATGTGAAGTTATGTACTTTGGCAAAAGAATTGCATAGCTGAATATTATTAGGAAATGGAGGAACACTGCAGAACAAAATGATTTAGGTTTCCTCATGCATAAATCACTGAAAGCATACAAGTTGGCTAGCTCATTTGGATAGGTGACTAGAGCGTGATGAAGTATAAAGCTAACAGTGAGGGTTGCTGACTGTGGTAGTTCATAGAGGCCTGACTCCTCACTTTATCCCACACTTGTGGAATGATTATCTCAAGCTTTAGAAAATCAGTTGTCTCTCTCTCACTGTCTCACTCATGCATAGAGATCCCTGTGATCCTTTATGGACTATTGCTCCTTACATTTCCATTGTATAGGGTGATAAGATCAGGCACAATCTGTAATAAATCTTTGTTACACCCTGTCCGAGGCAATATCTTTCCTGATGCACTGTACTCAGATTTGAATGTATATGTGGTCTATCCAGGGGTCTGTACAACTGTAATAAGTTCCATTTCTTTGTAGTCCAGACTTATTGAATCACCCTTAGGCTGGGACTTTTTTCACTGGAGTGTAGAAGATTGAGGGGCAATCTTATAGAGTGTGATAAAGTGAATACAAATTGGCTAGCTCATTTGGAGACTAGAGCATGGTGAAGTATAAAGCCAACAGTGAGGGTTGCTGACTGTGGTAGTTCATAGAGGCCTGACTCCTCACTTTACCCCACACTTGTGGAATGGTTATCTTGGAGTGGGAGTACGAAATGAGGGGGCATATTTTAAGGTGAGAGGAAAAAGTTTTAAAAAGGACATGAGGGGCAACTTTTCTACAAAAAGTGGTTCGTGTGTGGAATGACCCGTCAGAGGAAGTGGTGGATTCAGGTACAGGTACAACATTTTAAAGACATTTAAGTACACAAATAGGAAAGGTTTGAATGGATATGGGCCAAATGCAGGCAAGTGGAACTAGTTTAGTTTAGGAATGTGGTTGGTGTGGACTAGTTGGACCAAAGGATCTGTTTGCATGCTGTGTGACTCTATCCTGGGTGTTTTTTCTACTCAAATAATTCTAAAGTTAAAAGGCATGATGTCCCCTTCACAAAGCTATGCTGACTCTACTTGATCATAGTATGTATTTCCAAATGCTCTGCTGTGACATCCTTCATAACAGACTCTAATGTTTTCCTAACAACAGATATTAAGCTAACTGCCTATAGTTACCAGATTTTGTCTCCTTTCCTTTCTAGATAAAGGTGTTTCATTTGTAGTTTTCCAATCCTCTAGGACTTTTCCAGAATCTAAGAATTCTTGGAAGATTATTATCAGTATATCCACAGTCTCTGCATGTACTTCTTTTAATATCCTGGAATAATATTATTGACCTTTAGCCCTGTTAGTTTCCCTAGCTTTTTTTCGCTAGTGATATTTATTATATTGATTTTCTGTTCTCCTTTTGCCCATTGTTTATTTAGTAATTTTGGAATGCTATTGGTGTCCTTGGCCCGTTCAGGCAGTGCTTCCATTTAACCAAACACTTTAGGAGTGCAGGGAAGTGGTTAGGAAGATTTCAAATATTGGAAGATATCCAAAATATTTTATGACCCAGAAAAAGTTAATTTCAAAAACATTTTTATCTTTGTGGATCCATTGGACAATATTTCTTTGGTATGCCTCTCACCACACCACCTCCTCATCTTCCTTTGCTCTTGACTGATATATCATGTTGAACTTGCAGCTATAAAATCTGTACGTTAGTTTGCTGCTGCGCGAAGCTGATTCTGGTCATCTACATGCCAACTTCATTACACCAAATAACCTCTAAACTTCAGTCAGGTTAAGGTAAAGATTTCTATGGTTAAAAACTATGAGCACATTAAACTATTGACCCACAGAAACAACCTAGGAGATAATTATTAACTGGTCTAATTGTCTGTTCTCTGTAGCTGACGAAACAGCAACTTAAATCTTGATTATGCTGTGAATAAGGATAAACAACTTAATAAATCCCATTAAAGGCAAAAGTATTATCTCTCCAAAGTAATAGTGAATGAGGGCTCAATTGTAAGAGATTGATATATTCATAATTAAAGTGAAAATCCATTTGCCTGTCATTCAACGAATACCGAGGTATAGTATAGTTAATTTTACCGTAAGCACCCCCAATACATGAAGGTATCTACAGTGAGCAGTAGCTAGAGAAATTCGAAGCACAAGATCTAATTTTTAATTAATGAATTTATATTATGAAAATCATATACTCTTCCCAACTTATAGAGGAGCAATTGTTCCTCGTCTCGGCTAAGAGAAAATATTGTTAAAAAACGAGTTTTATCTATTTATGTAGGCATTAACATTAATTTACCAGTTTGCTAGCTTAAAACTCGACAGTTTAAAGGCAATATTCATGAAAAAGCACAAGTTGATTCCGTGGTCTAATCACTTCCTGGAATCTACTACTGTTTTAGAATGAATTATGTGTTTAAAAAGAGACATGCATGGTTTGCACATGTTTTAATTCAATATAGATTTTGATTTTTTTTATTTTTAAAAAAGTGCTTCCAGCGGAGAGTTCATTTGGCCGTATTACTGTTCCGAGCCTGGGTGTGTGTCCTGCAGCTTTAAGCAGCGGAAAAATAACTAAACGTCAAGGCTGCAGGCGGAAGTTGTGAGCAATCATCTGATACAGAGAGAGAGGAGAGATCAAGTGATTCGGCTGCCACATGCAACATGGCTTCCTGGTGGGTTTGGCCAGCGATATGGATGTACTTGTTGGCTCTGCTGCCCGGAGCGCAGGCTTTGGACGGAGGGGACGCGGTGGCACTGCTGCTGGGGTTGGCTCTCAGTGTGGTAGGAGTCTGTGCGTGTCTGGGCTGGTACTCTCGGAAGAGAAACGCGCAACTCTGAGAGCGGGGCAAGGAAGGAGGAAAGAAGCCAGAGTCTTTCCAAAGCAGCAACAAGCAAAGGGTTCCCCCCCCGGTCGCGAAAGCCTTATTATCCTCAGAGATACAATAATCCTTCGGAGAGAGAGGGAGGTCACGCCGGAACAGACGAGACACGTCTTCTTGGGTCTTACAGACTTTTTTTGCACCAGCGCCGTGAGAAGTTGCCTGTATGATTGCGCCTGTCGGTGCGATGCTGAGCCCCTCGCACACACATATACACACCTTGTGTCTTCCCCAGGACCACCACCTGCCCATTGAGGAGCATCCAACTCCATCCTCTTCGGAACCACAGCGTGCGTGGGAAGGCTGCGCTAACCAAGTTTTACAACCCTCGGGACGTTTCTTAAAAGCTTCAGTGAAATTGTATTTTAATTATTTCCCCACCCAAAAAGGAATCACACGCCGATTTTTGGAGCGCCAAACCCAAAATGAAACATGGAAGTTGAAGTTAACGTGCTCGCTTTCTCCCGGTCCGCACTCTGATGCAAACGTTGTCATGTTTCTGAGCAATTGTGACACTCCTCTCCCTCCGTTGTTGCACCAAATCGTTAAAGTAACTTATTTCAGGCGGTAGACTTTTGTTTTAGGTTTTGGTTTAATTTTTTCCATCCTTCTGTTCCTGAATTCGTCTTCGCTTGATTATTGCCACCTAGCGTCGTTTCCCTTTGAAAGGGATGTTCGTCATAAATGCAGTTCCTTGTTGGTGTTCTCTAAACATTTACCCTACATCACCCTCTGGACTTCTCACCGGCTAATGTAAGGAAGACATTTGGTTCATCCAGCAAACTAATACAATGACTGGGAAATGTTAATGTGTGATTTGTATCAATTTGGATTTTCATAAGGACATCATAATAAATAACTTTTGATGTCTTTTGATTTGTGCAAAATGAATTTTAAAAGTTATAATTTATTTATTGACTGGTATAACACACAGTAGTCTTAGTCTGTGTTCAATAACTGCAAGTTAAAAATTAACACCACTTTATAGCATCTTTCTACAGTTGGGTTGCTTCAGTAGATCATAATTGCCAGAATGAAAATCAAAGCCTTTGTACATTTGAGATCATTTTCAGTTTTGTTTGTCTCCATTCCTAGTAGTAGTTTGTTCACTTGCTTAGATGAAATAGTGAGGGTTGGTTTAGCTCAGTTGATTGGATGCTTGGTTTGCAAACTAGTGCAATGCCAACAGTGTAGGTTCAATTCCAGCACCAGCTGAAGTTACCACAAAGGACTCTCTTTCTCAACCTCTCTCCTCACCTGAAGGATGGTGGCCCTCAGATTTAATCACCACAAGTCATCTCTCTCTCTCTAATGATCTGGTAAGACTATGGCAACAGAATTTTTTAAAAAAATGAACCAGCTATGTAGTAAAAGTAACAGAAGCTCTGGAGCTGTGCTTGAGATCCCAGTTTGAACAAGATGAACTCCTATTTAAGTAATTTTTATCCTTATTGAAACTGAAAGTGCCACCGGATAGTGTTGACAAAACACTTTTCACTGTATCTTCAAGATATATGTAACAGTAAATAAATCAGTCATTGTTCAACTAACTGATGGATCCTCTCAACATCCCTCATTTTATATATTGATTACAGACCAGGCTGAGAGCTGAAGTTGAGCTAATCAAACAGGCTGAGCATTATTTGTGTCTGCAAAGAGAGCTGCTAACAACCAAGCATTGGCCAACCCATTCACTGTGAAGGCTGCTAACTTTGAAATTTAAAAATCTTCTTGTCATCAGATTTTATTTTATAAATGTTAGAATGTGTCGTGCAGCAGATATTAGCAGTTAGTGGCCTTTGACATTGTTATATTATGGCAATGTAGTTAAATGACAAATTTGAGTGGGTGGAGGTGAAACACCTTAAATACCTTGGATGTTTATAGATTTTGTATGTTTTTCTGCCTGTTTATATGGATGATACAAACATTAGAGCAGTTCATTGAAATCATGTACGATTGTTTATTAGTTGCCCCAAAACTTCAAAACTTCCTTGAAATGATATTTACTTTGCGCTGTGAATTGGACGTGTTTGTTTCAAGCTTTTAGGGTCAATTAACCTTGTGATAGGTAAGGACTGTCAAATTTATAAACTAGGCCTGTTAAAGATAGAGTTGCTTCAAAACTTTGAAATCAAAGTCAAATGTGAAATTTACTTAGGCTGCACTTCCTGTTTTTTGGCTTCCAGCTTGATCTTCTTTCTACTTGGTGCTTCACTGGCTGTTATTTCTGAACATGCTGCATCATGAAATTCATATATCCTGTGGGTTATTTGTAGTGCACAATGCATTGACTTTGTATTCATGATATGTACTAGATTTTATGAATTATGCACACATCAAAAATTGTGTTCAAGCAATTGCATTTTGTATGTATATACATCTTAAAATGTTGTGCTGTGCTAAGTGTATACCAAAAGGTACACTTGATTTCCAAGTATTAGCAAACTTAGTTTAAATTTAACCACTCAAATTATTGCACGTGCCAGTCATTGAATCTTCACTGAAGATTCCATCTTCTATCAAAAAAAAGGGTGTTTTAACTAGCCATCTGCTGTGGTGATGTTTTGAGTAATGATGGAACAGAAATGCAAAACTAGACTTATGTTTCAGTGTAATCATTCCTTTTGGTATATTGAGGTCTGTGTAACTTCTCCCCTCAAGCTGTACTCCGGGGAAGTAGTGGCATAGTGATGATGCCACTCGACCAGTAATCAAGATACCCAGATAATGTTCTGGGGACCCGGATTCAAATCCATGTCTGATTCATGGCAGATGGTGAAATCTGAATTCAATAAAAATCTGGAACTACTCCAATGATGAACATGAAACCATTGTCGATTGTCATAAAATCCCATCTGCTGTCTTTACTGTAGTCTAGCCAACATGTGACATCATGACCCACAACAATGTGGTTTTAACTGCTGTCTGAAATGACCTAGCAGGCCGTTCGTATCAATTGCTAGAAAGTTTCAAAAATGATTGAAACTGGACCTCAATTAAGGCACTGGAAACAACATCAGTAAACAGAGCTCACCAACCCTGCAAAGACCTCCTTGTAAACATCTAGGGGCCAGTACAAAAATTGAAGAGCTGTCTCACAAACCAGTCAAATGACAAAGTCGTAGTCTTGGAATGATACCCAGACAATGCCGTCACCACCTGTGGTATGTCATGTCTCACTGGCAGATTGATTATACAGTCAGGGTAGTGATGGAAATGTCCTGGGAGTCCTCAATATTGCCTCTGGACCCTGTGAAGTCTCATTTCATCAGGTTAAACATTGACAAGGAAACTTCCTGGTCAAGTCCTAAAGGACATTGCCTGCCACCAACCTAGTTCAGCAGCAATGAGGGAACCAACAAGAGGCAAACACACTTGACCTCGCCCTCACAGCTCGTGTCGTCTAGCACCACCACTATGCTAAATGGGACAGACTTCAAACACATTTAGCAACTCAAGATGGGTATCTATGAAGTGCTGTGGGTCACCAGAAGCATGATTTACTTCCAGCATATTGAGTAACCTCATGGCTCAGCATATGCACTACTCTCCCCCGGTTTGATGTTAATGCTATCAGCCCTGGTTCAATGAACGGTGCAGCAGGGCATGCCAGAAGCAGCACCAGGCACATCTAAAAATGAGGTGAAGCTGTAAAGCAGAAAGAAAATAAGAAATTGCTGGAAAATCTCAGCAGGTCTGGCAGCATCTGTGGAGAGAAAGCAGAGTTAACAGTTCTGAGTTTGTGCAATATGAAGCCTTGATGTTCTGAGCAAGATGCTATGCAGATACAGTGTAGAACTTAAGCTAGTTTTGCTGGTCAACTTTTTTCTGCTGTTGATAGGTGAGGAGCCATTTTAAGTCAGCGGGAGGACAAGTGAGGCTAAGACAATTTTGAAGTCCCTGATTCCTGCCTCATGCTGTAATTGCATTTCAGTTTGAGCTGGAAACACCCAACAAATGTGAGCATTCACATGCAAAGAGATTAAGGAAAACCATGAGCCTCGTGGTAAAATTGGATGTGTAAGGTGCCTTGAAGCAGGAGAATGAGCAATTAATATTGCCAGAGTACTTGTGCTATGACATTGAGAGTAATGCGTGAAAATGCCCACAAAATTCTGAGTGCTGTAAGGGTGAATTGGTCTGGAGGCAGCATCAGGGAGAACATAGAAAAACTTGACTTTCTGGATCAAAAATCAAAACCAGCATCAACTGCCTTAAGTTAATGATAATTCAAGAAAAAGCCAGATGCCTGCATAAGAATTTACAGAATGAGCAGGGTGAGATTTCACAGTCATTGAGTTTCAATGCTAGTCTGGATGGTTTGCATATTGTTGCAATGTCTGATGAGGCAGCTGGTGCAGAAACAGGAGCAGCTCATAAAATTGCTGCCTAAGATTCAGTGAGGAGGATAGCTACTTAGCAAAACAAGTTTTCAATATTAATCGAATGTGGTGTTTTAGGAAACACATGACCCCCAGAAATCAGTGATAGTAGGAACTGCAGATGCTGGAGAATCTGAGATACCAAGGTGTAGAGCTGGATGAACACAGCAGGCCAAGCAGCATCAGAGGAGCAGGAAGGCTGACGTTTCAGGCCTAGACCCTTCT